GACTGAAAGTTTTAAATTACATTTTATTAAAGATATAAAATATTATAAACAAATTTCTGGCATAAATTTTCATAAAATTTTAAAATTCTTTTATTATCATAAGTTTAAATAATATTACATCATAATGTTTTGAAATTTTAGTATTTTCGTAAGTTTTACATAATATTATACCATAATGTTACGAAGTACTATACTGTAAACTTTCACATACTTATATACTCATAATACTTTCATAGTATTATATCGTAATATTATAAAATATTATGAAAATATAAATTACGTAATCTTATGATAGGCTCATAAGTTTTCGTAATATTACAGAATATAAGTTTACATAATATTATATCCTATTAAATTTACTTATGTTATTACTAATATTACTAAGTTTTTTTAGTAAACTGAAGTTGCAATAGCAGTTATTACTAAGCTTTCTTAATAAAACTGAGATCATAGAGTTATTTTACTAAGTATTATTAGTTAAACTGAAACCATAAAGTTGTTTTACTAAGTTTTAATAGTAAAAATTCATCTTTTATTAAACTTACTTTATAAAAGATATCTTTTATTTTAATATATCATTATAAAATTAAAAAATTTTTTATATTTGATTTGATTCTCAATCAAAATTTGAGTTTAATTCAATTTGATTTAATTTGGTTTGGAAAATCAAATCAAATTCAAATTGCTTAAATAATTGATTCAATTTAATTTTGAAGAACCTAGTAATATTATTACATAAAATTTTTGTAATATACTGATAACTTGAAATACTGATATATTTTTTTACAAAATTACTGTATTATTATATAGAGGCTTGACTGTACAGTCAAATCTTGATATAGCAAACCCTTGATATAGCGAATTTTTAAATCAAATATATTAAAATTACCTTACTATAGTGAACTAACCAATTAAATTTCTTTAAAAAAAATCATTATAAGCTTATAACGAAATTGATATTCAGATCTTAGAATTCATTATATCAAGAGTTCACTATATACAGTATATATATTTCAATTTTAGTATATTAAATAAAAAATCACAATAAAATTAATTATCAAATACTGTCTACAAATGTTTCACTATCTCCTTTATATTCATAAACATTCTACTACTTACAAAAATCCTAAGTCTGGAAATAAATTTATTCTATTAGTATTATAGAATATTTTATCACTTATTTCATTAGTTATTATTGATGTAATGATAAATAAGAAAAATTATTATAAAAACTTACTTATTTTAAATATCAGTTTATTATAAAGATGATATTAAAGCTCTGAACAGTTCAGATTAATCTAAAATTTTTTTAGATTATAATTCAATTTGAATTGAAATAAATCTAAACCAAATGGTTTCCAATCTGAAATTTTCAGATTGATCTGAAGTTTCAGTTAATAATAAATGTTTTTGAATTTTTTGGTATTTTTTATTAAGAAAATAACTGATATAAATTATATCTGAATTGTCAGAAATGACTTTTAAAAATATAGTAAAATCAAACATGAATTTTTAGAAGTGATTTTTATTTAATAAAATTGTCTCTGACAATTTGGGTGTAACATTTATTATAAAAAATAATTGCATTAAACTGTCAGTGCTAGGAAAATAATAATAACAGTCACATCTAAACTGTCAGATGAGATTATTATTATAAAAAAATAATAATAAAAGTCACACCCAAATTGTCAGGACTACTTTTATTAAAAAAATTAAAATAAAATTGCTTCTGACAGTTCAGCTGCGACTTTTATTATTATTCTTATAATATAACTTTGATATTTCGAGTGTGACTTTTTCTAATAAAATCACACTCAAACTATTAGAGATAGCCTTTATTATCACATCTGATAATTTAAATGCAGCTTTTATTATTATTATTTATAATAAAAGTAGCCTGACAGTTTGGATATGACTTTATTATTATATTTTATAATAAAAGTTACCTCTAACAATTCAGATGCGGCTTTTATTATTGCATCTGAACTTTCAATAGAAACTTTTATTATTATTTTTTATAATATAAGTTACCTGACAAATTCAGATATGATTTTATTATTATATTTTATAATAAAAGACACCTCTGACAATTTATATGTGATTTTTATTATTATTTTTATAATAAAAGTCACCTCTAATAATTAAGATGCAGCTTTTATTATTATTTTTATAATAAAAATCACATCTGACAATTTAGATGTAGCTTTTATTATCATTTTTTATAATAAAAGTCACATCTGACAATTCAGATGTGACTTTTTTAATAAGTTGTATCAAACTGTTAGAGACGGCTTTTATTATTGTATCTGATAGTTCAGAGATAACTTTTATTTTTATTTTTCACAATAAAAGTTGCCCAACAATTTAAAGGTGAATTTATTATCATTTTTTCTAATAAAAGTCACCTTCAATACTTCAGGTGTAACATTTCTAATAAAGTTGCATCCAAACTGTTGGAAGCAGCTTTTATTATCGCAATCAAATTGTTAGAGGTGACATTTATTAGAAAAAATGATAATAAATTTACCTTTGAACTGTTGGGTGACTTTAATTATAAAAAATAATAATAAAAGTCATATCTGAACTGTCAGAATGATTTTTATTAGTATTTAATAACCGAAATTTTGGATTAATCTGAAAATTTTCAGTTCAGATTGGATTATTCAAAAGTTTTAGATCCGTTTTCAAAGCTTTAGATGATATATATATTTTCTTTACTATGATCATGCATCTTTAAAATTTTAATTATTTACTGTAATTTCAAACTTATCTACCGGTTCTGGTAGATCTTTGAAAAACGCCAAATCTGCGCGAAATGTCAATTACTTCAGAAATGATGGATAAGTAGTAAAAGTAAAAGTTAATATTACGCGAAGTCCCAGAAGACGCCGGAACTTTCTTTTCTTTTAATAATCACTTATATTAATAATCAAGATGCATGGTTGTAACATTAAAAAATAAGACCAAAAAATGCTGAAAAGAATTTTTTTCTTCATGTTAATAAATATTGAAGAAAAGATTTTATTGATATTAATTGTAATTATATTATTAATTATTTTATTTTAATAATATATCTTAGATATTAAAATGGAAATAGGTATCCTATGCAACATTTGGGTCGAAATAAATTATCTGGAAATGTTAAAAGAAACATGTATATTACAGGCATTGATTGTACAAATAGAAAAGTTATTAATCATTTTTTACAAAAACGGACTGCACAAAAATTAAATGATGAAGGATTAGACTCTTAAGATATATGAATATGACATTACATATTTTATCATTTTACAATTTATTATTTGATTTATATAATCTTTTTTAATATTATTTAGGTATCATCCACAAAATGAAACACAAAGATTAGAAACGGCCAAATTAACGCTTCCAGAAATATCAAAAGTATTTATTATACCATTTGACATTTTAATACATTAAATTTTTTACTAATTAATATATTTTTTTAAAGAAAATAAAATTGATGATGTAATAAAGGATGATACAGAAACTGAAGCTTCTTTTTTTCAAGATAATTCCGATGAAAAATCTTCTTCAACATCAAGAAATACTCTTCCTGAATTACAAATATTACAATTCCTTTAGAACGTAAAAATAATGATTCAATTAATTTTCGACCTAAATTTATTAAATGCAAAAATGTAACGATTAATATCATGGTATATTATATAGTTATATACAGTAATTAAATATACTATACCGCAAACTTTACTAGGAACGCATAAATAAATACATACAAAGTTTAATACCTAGTAGGTATAAGTACATTTGCATAACTGTGTAAATGGTTTCAACCAGGGAATAATCCAGAATTTACCGAATCCAAGTTCACTTTAGAGGTATCATTGAGCGCATTTCAGCATGCGGATCGGACGGTTATTAAAATGAATTAAAATCAAAGTATTAAAAAGTTTGTTAAAGTTTTGCAATAATTTATTTTTCATATTAATAGAAGAAATTAAAATATTTTCTCTAATAAATTAACTTTTGATCCATCTAATAAAAAGAAATAATTACAGAATTCGCTCAAAGGAATATTTTAAGTTAAAAACAAAATTATTAATGTATCAATATTACTATTAAAACGAAATATATTAATTATAAGATGCTGTATGCTGCGGGTATGCACAGAACGTTATTGATAGTAAATACTTTTTTACTTCCAATAACTATACTTAATAATGATGATATATCCTGAATAAGAAAAGCCTGCAATACTATCACGCAACCACTACGCCTACTTACCATAAAAGTACAAGGAAAAGGCACTCCTTTTCTTCATTCCTTTGATCAAATAGATTTAACGAAATAGGTTTAAAACGATCAATATTTGAATTGATCTGGTTTTAATTTATATAATAATAAACCTTTTTACATTGTAAAATACAACTTTTTGATTTGAATTTTTACCAAAACAAATAGATCATGTGTATTACCTAATGGAAAGGAGGCGTTCAGTTTTTCAACCAGTTTTGATTGGTTAGGTATGTAATTTTTTTTAAGGAGTTGATCACATTTTATTCAATTCACAAGATAATTATGAATCCGACAAAACAAAATGACGACATTGGATAAGCCCCCCTCGTTATCATAAAACGAAATAAAGTATTTGTTTTGCAAATCTATTTTTTTCTTTTTTTTAAGTGAAAAATGAAAATTGTCCTTTTGTTATACAAACTTATAATGTAATGTTGCATTAAAAAAAAATTTGTTTTGGTTAGTACTTTGATATTTAACTTGAAAAAAGAAATCAAGGGACGAATCATTGCATATAGATAATGTCAAAAGTCGATTAAATCCAATCAAATTTAATTTGAATCGATCTTATCAGCAATTTCAAAAGCACAAAAGTACTGTATATTATGTATATGCATTTTATCACTTTATAGGCAAATCACTATAAATTAAATGATTTTTTTTTTAAAAAAAATAAAAACAAAAACAAAAATAAAAAATAAAATTTGGATTATTCGGATTTCAAAATGGATCCTTCAATGAAATTATCTTCACTCCTTATTGCTTCGATTGAGGTAGTTTTTTAATATATCATGGACAATAGATAATAATACGCACGTACATAATCTAATCGACCAAAATAATATTTTAGTCTACAGGTCATGTCATCGGAGTAGTGCTCATTGGTTACATAGGCTCAAGGTCTGGAATAATCTCACAAAAGACACGAAAGGTACTTTTCTAAACGATAAATTTGGGCGACATTCCTTCGACATTATTATTATTATTATTATTTATTTATTTTCTTTTTATAGAATTTAGCACTACTGGTTATGAATCTTTTCTTACCGTGTTTATTATTCTCCCATATTGGAAGTAATATTTCAGCTTCGATGTTATTAAATCTATGGCCATTAGCATTCTTTTGTATAATGTACATTGTCATTGGAACGTTATTTAGCAAGCTCGGTTCAAAACTATTGGGATTAAGCTCCTCAAATAAAACGTTTGTTGAACGTTCAATTACGTTCAATAATATAACGAGTTTACCTGTGGGATTCATCAAAGTCCTAGCAAACACCAATGCAATACGATTGTTGGCATGTGATGATGATGAATCACCTGAAAAAACTGTGTCACGTGGTATGACTTATCTTCTACTATCTACGCTCTTCGTTTTGATTACGAGGTATTTTTGTTTTGATTTTCATTTTCGTCATCGGTTCACGTGATTGGTTTTTAAAAATATTTGTCACCGGCGCGTAATACTCTCTGCTTTCATTGCTTGTTAAATTTTTTAAAATTTATTTCAGTGAAATCCTATTTGTCACATTTGTCAAATAGACGTAGCTGGTTTAGGTTTGTGAGTAATTAATATCATGTGATATCGATGATGAGAGATCCTTTTTTTCTTAATGGATTAATGATGAATTTACCAAAATATAAATATTAATTTTATTTTAGATGTATTCTGGATCAGATACTTTCAATTGAAAATTTCACAAAAGTTTCCGAAGAGTATTTAAAAACATTACCGATTCATTATGACGAAACAACTCCTTTAATACCGGGTTCTTCTTCTCGATCTAAATCCAAATGTAAAAAATTATTTAAAACAATTAGCAGTGTTATGAGTCCACTTTTATTTGCTGGAATATTGGCTATAACAATCGGTACAATCCCATCACTCAAGAAGATTATTTTCTTTGAACAATCTTCATTTCACATAAACATTACACGTGCAATGCAATATATAGCATCAATGACAGTTCCAATGACACTTTTAAATATTGGAGCACAATCAGGATTTACAACCAAACTTAAAGAACGTGAGACAATTAAATCGATTTCATTCATTATGTTTTGTAGATTGTTCATAATGCCTGTTATTGGTGTTTTTATGACTTTAACCGCGAGAAAGTGGCTTATTGATGATCCTATGTTGTTATTCGTATTATTCTCTTTGGCTTGTTGGCCTACCAATATTGATTTTATGAATACCGAAAGCAATACGGCAGCCTTAATGTTTTATTCTTATTTAGTTTTCGCTCCTTTGATTACCCTTACGTTGGCTACTTTATTAAATTTTGTCAAGTTGATGACTTGATTGATGAAATCTAATTTCATTTAGACATTTTTTTAAATTATTCACTTTCAAACGTGTGTACATCGTAAACTCGGCGGTAATTTCGTCAGGAAGACGTTGCGAAATGTAATGTTTTTTTTTTTGTTTACATCACAATGTTTGCTGCAAACGTTTGGGGGCTATTTTTTTGGAGAAAAAATTCTTTTGTTATTTTTCTTGGAAAAATATTGGGGGCAAGAGAGCATTTTAATTAATTAATTAATAATTAAACATTTCAAACATAACTTTGAGTTGAATAAATCTAATATAAATTTGGATTGTAATTTTTTTTAAAATTTTAATTCTGGCAGGAATTATAATTTTGGCCTAAATTAAGAAATTTAACAAGTTTATTCATATAAATGTTATCAACCTTTTTAATATACAGTAAATGGCTTGAACTTTTGATTATACTTTACCTCAAATTTCGACGATAGTTTCGAATTTCGCTCTTATAATAATAAAATTTTATTGGTTCAGAGGTATAGGATTTCGGTATTACAGACCCTTGGGTTTCATCAGGAATATATGCCTAACCTGATAAATAATGATAAATATAACCAAGGATACGCTTTTAAAAGAACATATATGCCATTGAGGTTAGTTCTAAACTTTCTATAACATTGCTGATAAAATATTTAGCATCAGGAATATGTCTTTTAACAACAAGATGAGAATAGTCGATCGTACGCTTGACTGGGATTTGTACACACGAGGGATTTCTTGCAAGTACTTAAAGTTTCAAGATTATCTAGATTTCATAAACAAATTTTAAGATAAAAATGAGAAATGAGAATAAAGTAAAATTATTTATTTAATTAAATATTTGCCAACACTTACAACTTCGAAACACAATACGACGAAGCGATTAATAAGAACAATAACATGCTCAAGAAGAAAGATTGAGCCACTTTAGGTTAATCAGAACTTTAAATGTAAAGTCGAGTCACGAGACAAAGTCCGATTGATACATCAATCACGTGATCGACGGATAGTGCATTAGCGTTAATTTTTATTATGAAAATGTATTTCTTGTTCAAACAATAAATGCAAAAAAAGAATACCAATTATCGAAAAACGTTGGAATTATTTACAATATGCAACTCAATTAAATAGTTTATTATTAATTAGACGAATGGATATTATGATTGTTTTGTTTTTTTGTTTTTTTTTTAAAAAAAAATAAATAATACCTTGCAAGATTAATTTATTTTTCACATTTACAAGATGGGGAAAGGAACGTTACTTGACCTTGTGACACAAAGTAATGAACTAACTTATGTAAAACGAAAATTCTTGTCAAAGAAGTTAGTAAGTTATTATTAATATAATTACTAATCATAATATGTTAAATTAAAAGTGGGAGACTTTTAAATTTGACTTTAAATTGACAAGGTTCTGTGGTACTGTACACCATTGTGTCTTTTATTCATGTTTATTTAGGTTATCCAGAGATTTTAGATAAAAAAAAAATAAATAAACACACAAGATGCTGCTGTGAACGTGTACCATATGTTGTATATCTAACTTGTTATTTATTTGAATTTATTGAATAATAAAAAAAAAAGGAAGCCAAAAAAATGCATGCTGGTCAGATATGCATAATTGTTCTTAAAATATCGGTTCACTTTATTTTAAAGGATAATACCTATTCTGTATTCTTTATATATTTTTGGCATTTTATTTAAAATTTTTTTTTTACCTTTTTTTATTTAATGTAATTTTTTTTTTTATGTATTTAATGTATTATTTATTTTACACTATTTCAATCACTGTGTTTTTTAAACTTTCCTTGATCTTCAGCTATCATTTCATTTCATATAGGTTTCGCAATGCATACGCACGGATCTCGTAATTTACTTTTTATGAAAAGAATCGTCGTGTTACATTACATTCACCCAGATCCCAACAATTTTGTAAACACAAAATTTTATTCCGAAGTGACATAATCTTTCGTAATTAAGATTACAGCGAAGGTATTTTTTTTTCTTTGAACGGTCCAAAGTATTTAAGAAAATTCTCTATTATGCTGTTAATTCATTTTGAACAATTATATCGATTCTTTGCAATTGCTAAGTTGCGATTGCAAAAGGATGCTTGAAAAATAAAAATGGGTTTAAATTCAATATAAACTCATTTAAGTCCTTGGATGTTTAATAAAATATAACAATAATTCAAGTTATCACAAGTTTTATTAATTTCTTTTCGTTATAATAGTTAACATACAGTAATTATATATTTGAATTAAGAAGAAATGCTTACAAGAATTACGAATGGACTCTGTTGTAATTTGAGTAGTCGCACAATTTCGAAATCGCGTTAAAAATTAAGGACAGCAGAAATATTCGAAGAACCTGTCTAATAAAAACCAACCGGAGAGAACCCATTTCCTTAATATCTCGTCGCATTCGGTTTAATCACCAATAACAAGGTTTAAGTTTTATTTAGGGATGCAACTTTGAAATATTATTAAGACAATCTGTCAATGCGTCTCCGGTAATGATTATGACATATAACCAATATTACGGCAAGACTTACGTACTGCATACGACATAGATTATGGCATACGGACGAATTACGGTATACAACACGAATTGCTATGCGCTTAATTACCTTATGATTGGTAGAAAAGAGTTCCACATCGACGAATAAAATAAAAATTTGATCTTTTGACAATTTATAACTTGGGAATTTTTATTATTAAAGATTGCAATTATTAAATAATACCAAGTAAAACTATTTTTTTTTTTTTTAAAAAAAAAAATATTTGGGGATCTTCCACGTGGAATTATTAATTCTACACGACATGCTGTGAATTATTTATTCATGCAGGAATTGAAAGATGAATTTTCGGTGCTATAGACTTATTTGGTCCTATCCGTGCCGGATTGATTAGTCAGGAAAAGTTGTTTTGCTGTGCATAAAACAAGTTGAAGTCCGATATAGGCGAGTATCCGAAAAATCATTTTTACCTTCATGAAAGGTCCTTTATAAAGAGAAATGTTTTATGACCGCATAAGTAGGCTTCGTTGTTTATTGTTTGTTTGTTATAAATGATCAACATAAGTTGCATCCGAAACCGAAATGATTTTTCTTTATCTCATTTCTTCTTTGCAAACAAAGAAATTAAATTTATTTTGCGAGACACAAAATTGTGAAAATTTAGTAATAGGTTTGTATTATTAAGTAACTTTACATCCTAAATCGTCATTGGTTAGATCAATTTGTAATCTGTTTCAATTAAAAAAAAAAAAATCTGTATACAGAACGTTATGTGGAAATCCGGAATTTTACAAATTTCGGTGCCCCTTAAATGGCGTTATTTATATTAATTCACATACATTTTTATTATCATAACAATAAGAAACGAAACTTATTGGTCATAAGAGCTTTGATCATCATCACGTCATGTTATATTTTTTTTTCTTTCATACAAACAATAAAAATAATAAATATTTTTATTTTTCATAGATAATCAGCATTACAATTATTCCAACTTTAGGTCACAAATCTCATTTCCGATTCATCTTTAATATGATTTTGTAAATAATAATAACTAACTTATTATGTAATAAAAAAAAAAATAATATGATTATCAACTTGTGTAATTTTTCGCGCTATTTTTAGTGGTTTTTATATGATTTCTGCGCGACCATAAGGATCAAAAACTTGCGGAAAATGATTTTTTTTTATCTGTCAATTTTATCTTACAAGCCTTAAAATTAATTAATTAATTGAACCTTAAAAATATATTCTTAAAATTATTCTTAAAATGTAACATCATAAATTAACAAAGCTTAATTAATATTCCATAAAAGAAAAAAATTTTGGCGAATTTTGTTTCGTTCAATTTTAATACAAGAAAGTGAAATCATACAAATTTAAGATGGTAATGAATTATAACGAAAAAGAAGGGTAATAAAAATTTTCGAATTTTTATTGTTCAAAAATAGTACTAAAGTATTCGGGTGATCCATTGAATAAGGGAAATTCGGTAACGAGAGTATTTGTTTCGTTATACAATTCAAATCCGTTAGGAAATTGCTCCGACAAAAAGTTCGTGTTGAGAGGGTGTTCCATTTGGGTAATCATTGGGGCATTGATGTCATTAAAATACGAGTTAAAACGTGGAGATTCGGGGATATAATAAGGAATATAAACCGGTGAAATTCTTCTCATTAAAGTAGGTTGATTGCTTTGAATGCTTTTTTCGACGTTATATCTTTGGGTATAGACGGTGCTGACTTCGTTGGCTAAATTTTCGTACATTTCCTTCTCTTCTAGAGTTGCACTCCTCCAAAATATCCCAGCGACTTTGCTAATAACTCGCATATTAGCGATTCCTACCTCTTTTGCGATGCTATTAACGTTTTTACGACAGAGGAGAAATCCGTTAGGGGGACGAGAAGGTCGATTAGCACGATTAAATGCCAATAACTCCACCGGATCGTTTAGATGAGGGGGAAAAATCATCTTCCTATCGATTTTTTCCATTAAATTATTTGTTAAAAATTCTAATGAGAAATTAGCAGCGGCCATTGGATTTTACGAATCTGACAACGATTATCTTTACGATTTTTTTTTTTCAAAAAAATAATACGATCAAATAAATATATATATATGTGAATGAACCTCGTTTGAAATGATTACCAAAAGAACTTATTTTTAGTTCGTGTTTTTTTTTTCTTTTTTATTTACCTCAATGACATGAATTCGACAGAAAGTGAAAACATGTGCTATTTATAAAGTCTGCCATGAAAAAAAAAAACAAGAAATTGTTTCATTTAGGAAATTTCAAAGAAACAAAAATAAAAATAAAGTAATTAGATCCACGTTTTTCATAGGTTATCTTTATTTATAAATTGCGGAATTCAAACCCGATTATATCATATTATATAAAGTACACTAATTAATTATATAGAAGTGAAAGCTGTGCAAGAGGATTGAATAATTAGTATAATTAGTTAAAAATATATATTAATTCACCTAATGATTATGATTTTTCAATTTGATATATGCATGTGTATTTATAAAGTACGGCATAAAACAATGAAAGTAAAATTCTTACCCGAGTCAATATATTTTAAAATTACAGGTTACTGGTGGATTCCATTTAAAGGAAGTGAATTCCGAGTTTGGGTAAGTTTTTTTATCTTATCACATTTTTTACTTTAATCGATAAATCTTCATTGTAACGTAAAAAAAAAAAAAAACAAATAAATTCTTTCAAACGCTCAAGCGCGCAACAAAGGGTCACAAAAAATTAAATTGCTACAAAATTTAAACTCGCCTATGGTTAAAATAGAGTGGCGGTGGCGCATTCATCTCTATTATTAATTAATTTCTTTGTGGCTGAGTAATATGGGTTACTAGTTTATATTGTCAATAAATTTTTTTTTTTAATATTCATAAAAATATATATATCATTCATACAAATCATCTGTCCCATTTATCATGCCGTGAGAATCCTAATTAGTCTTAGAGGATAAAAAATAATTTTCATTTTATATACAGTATTAATTGATTACAAAGAAAATATTTTTTTAAAAAAAATAATCTTAAAAAAATTAATAATCTTTTTAAAATTAATCAGGATTAGAATTATTCAAACCTTATAATTGTGTTCGTATATTCGGTTCAATTAGATTCTTAAAAACTTTTTTTTTTTTTTTTTTTACAAATTCAATGTTACAACGCAGTCCGCGTCGTTAAAAGTTCATTTGTATTCCGAAAAATAATGTAAGAACGAATAGAATGAATAACCCATCGATCTTATTATTATTAATCCCTTTTTTTTTTAATGTACTTTCCAAATTCATTTAATTCATAATATGTATGCAAGTTTCAATGTAATGACCGAATTAGTTACAAAAATGAAATGTCGATCTATCCACATCAACGATTTTTAAACTTAAATATTAATTTCTTATTAATAGAATGATTAATCTAGATTTTCAAAACATGACATGTCGAAACATGACCTGATTGTTCCTTTATACATTCCGGGAAGACAGGAATGTTCACCGTACGTAGACTTTACTATAAATGCATCCTTAAAAGAAGGACGATTACCAATCGAGAACCTTGACTTTTCAGTTGAGAAATGACCAAGAAAAGGCATTCCGATTCCGTCAATCCCTGTTTGAAAATAACATCGACCTTCAGTTATATTATATGATCATTGTTTCCTCTTAAAATTATTCCTGTTAAGGTAATATTTTTTTTAATTAGCTACGCGTCGAATTTTCCGTTTTCTAATTAAAGATGATGCCTAGTGTTACAAAAGAGGTCATGATGCACTTAATATAATCTTGCTTGATATGTACAATATGTAAAGGCCTTACTTGAAGGAATTTCATTGGCCACTCAAAAAGAAAATTTATATCGCACATTTAAAAGATTACATCAACATTTTGTCATGGCAAAATTCTTCCAAAATGGGATTTGCCGAAATCATTTTTGTGCCTCCATTGCTCATTGATAAATATAATGGTGCTACCGAATTTGCATAATCTCAATTTACATGATCAATCATAAAAAACGCATTATCGCAAATTAGTAAATTCATGAGAGAAGGGAGTTCGCAGGATGGGTTGAAAGTTAGATGATTCCAATCAATCTTTACCCTCACGCACGCGTAAAAAGCATAGAAAACCAAATCATACACAAACGTGCATGGATAACGCACGAGTCAATTCATTTTGTATATCGGATTCATCGGATTCCTTCTCTTCCGACTTTCGGCGGATCTTGTATAGAGTTTACGTTAATTCATAATTAATAAAAAAAAATACTTTACTTATATATTTCGTACCTAATAATAATAAATTTGTTAATAAAATTTCCATCTCTTCTTATCTTTCAAATAAGGAAATTAGTATATATGAAAGAATCGATTCGTCTCAAGCCGGTCCCACCGAGGATCACTGCGCCACCAATGTTATTATGACTATGATGATTATTATTATGGTTATGATTTTTTGAATGTTGGTTTGTTACCTTTTTTTATTATTATTTAAAAACAAAAACGAAATTCCTATTTAAATTGTCGATTAGAACATTGCAGAAGATGTATACAAAACATTTTTATGTAATTATCGAAATTTATTTTTTATTTTTTAGAAAAAAAAAAGGGAATATCATAAGTATTAAGTAAATACTTATTTTGTTAAATCTTTTAATCCTTAAATTTTTAATCTTTTTTTTTTTTAAAGTAATTTTGGTCGAAATCATATAATGAAATACCATTTCTACGTTTATTTACAAGTCATTTGACGACATGCGATATGCGGTAGTTACTATCTTAGCAACCGTCATAGCGTATGTTACCTAGTTTTTTATTACTCCTTTAAAATGAAATGCATAAATTTTTTTTTTTTTAAAAAAAAAATAAAGTTGGACATCAGCAACGATTAGGAGAAAGTAATTTTCTAAAAATAGCATATCTGAGAAAAAAAAATAAAAAAAAATATGATTACAAAGAATCGTTTTTGGATGTATTACCCGATGTCAATAAGCTGCCAAGAATCATAATAAAAAACAATTTTGAGAAATAGGAAGCTTACAAAAAAAATATAAATATAAATAAACCCCAACTTAAGGTCAGTCTGTGGGAAGATGTTCATTATGTTTCATTATTGATAATCAATAGTTCCTGAAACGGAAAATTTAAACGGTCAGCTGAAGTTTAAATTTACCGATTTGTCTAGATACCGATTTATAATTGGTTACGCGCATGGTTTCGCATCCCCAACTTTTTTAAATTAAAATATATAAATTAATTTAAATGAAAAAATGCATGTAAACGTTACCGTTTTGACAGCGGTTTAAAACAATAATCCGAGATTATATCGGATAAAGATTTACTGTACTAGACCGAATATATATACGTTTTAAGAATTCGAATTATATAAATACACCTGCTCTTTAAGAAATATTGCAATGGTTCATTGCTAATAACTATCACCCATCGGTCATCATAATATTAAATATACTTCATTTGGCCTTGAAACGACCCTGAACACTCTGAATAGCCCTTGAAATAACAGTATGAACGCTTTGTTACGCAGCTGCATCAACCCCCTAAATCTCTTTCCCCCAATGTTAGGTGACCCTATTGTAATATTGCAGATTCATAATGGGCATAGGAGCCAAGCGCCGCACGCTTATTATATCTTTAAGATTAATTTTGCTAATGAAGCAAACAGGCTGGGATTTTATGATAGAATCCTTATTGACTGCGAAGCTTCTCTCTATTGGGCTCGTGCTACTTTTCAACAAAGGCAACATTACTGCCGATTAGCTAACGTTGTTCTAGGTCTTCATTACCAGAGAAATGCTTACAATTCACGTAACATTTCTAGGTCGTTTCATGTGGTTTTACCCACTCGGTTGTTGATGACCAATAATAATCATGCAACCCTTCCTAATCCAACCCTTAATGTAATTCCAATCCCCCCTACTCGCTCTCTCCCTCACGGACAACCCATACAACAAAATCAAAATCCGCCCGGACGCAATAATAACAATCAAAACAACCTCTCCTCGTCTACCAATAACACTCTTGGTGACGATATCAACAACGGGTTCGCATTTATAGGTGATAACGGATTCGACATGTGCTCCCTGGATCCTTGGGCCAATTGAAGATTTGGAAGAAAAAAAGTCCTTTAAATTTTAAGATTTTTTATATGACTTGTAAGATATATAGAAATTATTATTTTAAAATAATCACTTCTATTAAGCTCTTAATGTACCTTCCTTTCCCTCCTTGTATTAGATTTATTTAATGTATTATGTAAATCTAATTATCATTCTTGTTCGTTCTAAGTTAATCAAAAGTAAAAAAATAATATAAAAAAAATTTATTTGTTGGTTTGTCAATGAATAAATATTCCATCAAATGTTTTGTTGGAATAGACCATCTGAAAACAAGTGCGCAAAACATGCAATTGTAGATCAAATAATTACGATGACATTGCGGAAATTAAATAAAATAAATTCCGCGAACCAATGTTGGTTGGTTTATATTTTTCATAATCTGCGTTTTTTTTTTTTTTTTTTTAATTGTGGGCGACGCATTAGTTTCGGAGGCAATAACGTAACATATGAGCTAAACTAAATGAGTAGGAGCGCCTTTTTTAAATGGATCATCAGTAACCATTTTTAATTGAAAGCACCAATTAGATATCAACCTTTTGTCATTCCAAAAAAAAAGGAAATTCTTGTCAAAAAAGGTGCTGATTATGGAGAAATTGTTTAATTGGTTCCTTATATGAAACTTATGAAAAGATCATTTAACGAAGAGAATAGATGGAACATGATAAACGATAGTTAATATGACTAATTTTGGAGATTTAGAGGATTTGTATGTTCATTTGCAGATTTTTTTTTTAGAGGCAAAGTCAGGTTTATTGTAAAAGGTTCCTCCAATGATGATAAATTTTCTCACCCCATGTTTTTTTGAACAAATTAATTCAAACATTTATGGACTAATGAAAAAAAAGTAAATAAACAATACCAAAAAAAATAGGCGCGAGTTTTTTTTTTCTTCTCGTTTCATAACATCTAAGATAATGAATTAAGGAATAATCTATTATTTGTATTCCGTTGCAGCCTAATCTGTCACTTGTTTACATTTGTAAATCTTTTGTTACCCCATGTGATGTGATGTTAGTTCTTGTGAGATAGTTTCGACTAGAATAGTAAAATGTCTTTGTTTAAATATAAACAGGGTTTCAAGTTTGTGTTACCCATGCATTTAATTTAAATTTGCATATTTCTTTTTTAATATTTAATTCATTCATCAGCTATTATATTGAACTTTAATTATTTTGTGCTTGAAATAAAATTCCTCTTTTTTTTTTTATTTCTAAAAAAAGGTCATACAACGTCTTTTAAAAGGTTTCCAAAAGGAAATATTTAATTAGAACTCATCATTCGATTAAAAGTTATCTGTCTGATTTAGATCCGTTTCTTGGCTTTCCTTTTTTTTTTATTTTATTTTTTTTTTACAACCGTTTCGAAATTCCTGCTGTTAAACCTTCTCGTTACAACAATTAAACATCGCTTATTAAGATGTATAATTCGTAAATAAAATCGAAACGGGCCATCTGGGTCCGATGCTTATCAATGATAATTGTTCTTATTATAGGATACAAATGTGCAACTTTTACATCATATTGCGAAAGTAGTTTTTTGCTTCTGCGCTATGATTTATTTTAAACCAAACATTAATTAGATTATTTTTACCCTGCATATGCATTGTATCAATATATATTAGGGTAGAAAAGAATGGAAAAAAATAATATTATATTTTTCAATTTGATATTGTTTATTTAATATATGATTTTCAAAACATATGCAATATTATGTGATTTGTTCAAGTTTTTAAAATTTGAATCGATTGAAATATCCTTGTTTAATTCTATCGATTATTTTTAGAAAAAGTTTCTTATACCTCCCCAACTCCCTTGTAACCATCGTACAAAATAAATTTAATAAATTCGGTGACCAGGTAGTTCAATTAAGAAAAATAAAATCAGCCCATAATTGATTATTAATTAAGTAAATACGCGAGAATTAAAATATTCCTTAAGATCACAAAAGAAAAATATAAAATAAAATACTATAAATAAATGCAGATTCCATCGATATTCTAAATATATAAATATACATATAATTTTAATTCAAATTTCAGGAACCAGTGAAAAAAATATCTCATTTTTTTGGATTAAGCCCATGTAAATTGCCAAGGTTCATGAAATTGCCAAGTCGTCAAGTCGTACAATACAATATTATTTTTTTATAAATACCCTAGCTAAATATTTATACAACGCTTCTTCCCACACACTGTTTTTTTAAATCCTACACTTATTTTATCTTCCGTCTCTTATTTTTTTTTTTATAAAAAAAAAAAGTAATATCAAAATAAAAATGTCTCAAGAACAAGACATACAAAATAGCCCTATAAACTTAGATGATGAAGCCGTACAAACTCCTCCATTTAACAACAATCCTCAAACGGTGGCAACTTATGTGTCTCAAGAACAAGACATACAAAATGTTCTTATAAACTTAGACGATGAAGCCGTACAAACTCCTCCATTTAACAACGATCCTCAAACGGTGGCAAATTATGCGAGGATCCGTCGAATCCAGAGAATAACTGGGCGTTTCTTAATGGAACGAAACATAGAAAGAGAAGTTACTCGAATACTACAATCGCGGAATCGGTATTTGACAAATTTAATAACGCAAAGGACATGGCGAAATTGCACTACTTCTCGTCGTCAGGGTTTTACCACATTGGCACGCGCGGCTAATAGGATAAACAGAACCAGGTTACATCCTACGGTGACAACGGGATTTGGTGATTTAATGTCTTTAATAAACAATCACCAGGTAACAAGAACGGAATTAGAAAGTAACCTATACAATGGAGGACCATTTTATTAAACAAGGACGATAGAAACGACGCCATCTGGATGGAGGATCGTCATAATCAACTGGATTGAAAAGAATCTTTCATTAGACTAGAGCTTTCATATTCATATAGTAGTAACAAAAAGAAAATTCGAACTTTTTCACACATTTTAATCACCTTTTCATACTTTTTTTTCGGAAAATATTTTTTTTTTTTATTTTTTATATTTTGATAAAAGACATTGTTTTGCTCTTTTCAATTTTACCTTCCCCTATGACTTTTTTTTCCTTACAAATTTTTGTTTCATTCTATTCCATTAAGGTACTTATTTATGATAATTTATATGATTTTAAGAAAAAAAAATTTTGTAAAAAATAAACAAAAAATAAATATTATGATCACGCATTACAAATAAATAACTCACATGTTCATATTACCTGATTGTGGACCCTAGTTTATGTTTTGTCACGTCATATCATTGATGTATTTAATCGTGTAACAAAATAAATAATTTTAATAAAAAAAAGAAATGGAAAATGGAAAATGGAGAAAAAAGGAAAAGCCTCTTTAAAATGACTCAAAATTGTCTTTTCATTTATGTATGAAAAGGATGTAAACTGAAATATCTAGTATGCATACTTTGAGTTTACGATGTTGATGTTTATTTATTGCTATGTCAATCTGCATATACAAATCATACCAACCAATCCATAGACTGTCATATTGGAGTTTTTTTTATCGATAAGAGACAAAGAAAAAGGAAAACGAAATATACATGACAACATACAGGCAGGAGAACACCAATTAAAATTTTTTCCATCTGGATTCAAAACGTTTAGTGTCGTTTCCTATGTAGAATTCGAAGGGCAAGTAAGGAATCTGATAAATGCATATGTTTCTTTAAAAGAGTATTCATATAAGAATTTATCAATGTAAATATTACATCATTTATTTATTTTGTCCAAATGAATTAATTTAAACAAGTACCAGTGACATAAAAGTGGTCACGAAATATAATCAAATTTACGAAAATATTTCCCCAAAAATTCAGTTGTTTGTTGTGCAAACAAGTAATTTGGCTGATATTTTTGTTACAAATAGTAAACAATGAACCAAAAATCTTTTTCTGAATTTAGTTTTGACAACTTGACATTTTTATTTTTATTTTTATTTTTTTTTAGCTTGGAAATCTTCAAAATATTTATAAAAATATTTACTTTACAGGAGCAACAATTATTTATCATGTGGATATTTGGCGATTACTTTTAAAAAGAAATTTCAATTATATCACCTATTTGAAGGTCAATCATTCCAGTATTGAAACATGTGCAATGCCAAATTTTTCAAGTATAATCTGCAGTTTTATCATCGATTAATACGATTTCGGTAATTTTGTCCAAAATGGAAGATTTTAATGTTTGTTACTGTTTTTCATTTTCATTTTTTTTTTTAGTAAAAAAAAAATGCCAAAAATAATGGAATCAGCGTTAAAAAAAAAGGTTAAAATGAAATACGGGAAATCCCGTTTCGATCCTTTATTATTACTTATTATTGTTATCGTTTCCTAATTTAGAGAATACATCTTCAAAAACATTTAAACCCTTATACAATTTTCATTTAGGAAAAAAAAAAGATCTAGAGATCACGGTGGAGCGACCGGAACCATGAAAAAAAGAAATCAATTCCTAATTATATTCTAATATGGTTGCTTTCTCCCTTATTTTTTTTTTTTACTTCCTTTTAAATAAAATCTTGTTCATTATAATCCCCTCTTTTTGAAAGAATCTAATTCCATATTTAGTTCGTTTAATTTCTTTCAGTAGGGATTATTTCCTCGTCATTCCCCTATATTTTAATACCCGAAAATGTTGGCAATGATTTTCTTTTTTTTAAAAAAAAAAAAAAATTTAAATTTAAAATGCATTGTCGATTCGGAGTAATGTTATTAAATAGGTCAACAAGGGATTACTAGGAGAAAATGTTCAAAGATTTCCATTAGGTCGGTCATAAGGCACTTTTTCAAGTCGAGTTGATTGTCGTATACATCGCAAAATCAATATTTTTCCTTCATTTTCTATATTTATAGAAATACAATGAATGATATCGATTTTCAATTTCTTTTTCCAAAAAAATAGATGGCATGTATCGACAATCTCATCCAAATATATCCCGTTTTAACTGTCACTAACCAAATAAAGTGAAATTACACCTAAAAATGACAGTGTAGGAAGTACGCGTCTTTTCTAAAATCTGTATGCCGACCACCAAAATTTAACAAAAGGGAGAATGAATTTTTATTTTTGTAAATGATAATTGTTTAAAAATAATAATAATTTTTTTTTTCCTTCGTGGGAAGTTCTCGAATCATGAAAGGGTCATGAGTTAAAGGAGTGGTCTCTCATATAGAAATGAGGATTCATAATAATATTATTATTAGTAATTATATTTGCCGTTTTACGAATAAAAAAAGTTTTTTACTTATCAGAATAAACTTTTTCAAATTGATTAAATACCGTCAAATTAATAATTCATTTTTTTTTTAAAAAAAAGAAAAAAAAATTACTCGATATTAGAAATATTACGTAATACATACTCGTGATTTAAGGATCGGGTGAGTGGCATCATCAATCACACCGGTTGGACTGTCAACCCAGTATATGGGCAGTGCTCCGAATATGTTGGAATGATCATTATAATACATAATTGTTTTTTAGGAATATTCAAAGTCAATGATTCATCATGTTTACACATACCAAAAAATAGAAATTTAAAGAATAACCAATAAAGGCATTTTTATGATTATTTTATTATTATTTTCGATTTGAATTTATAATTAAAACATATAGGGAAGGAACAAATGATGAGAAATTAAAGGATTTACATTACTACTACATTTTATTTTTCGTATATTATTAAGTAACTTAAGACAAATTAGTTAAGAAATTCTAAGATCAAGAGTAATTGGTTGGTTGTAACTTAAGAGGGAAGGTACATTGTTTAAAACATTTATCGTAGTTTAAATCTTAAATAATGACTTAGAATTCATCATAAAAAGAAAGCATATTCACGATTTTGCCACATATTTTAAGAGAAGATAATATAAAATAAAGAAAAACGATGATAATAAAAAAAAAATATGCCCAAGCCCACGTGCGCACAAAAAAAATTGACCAGTCCCCACGCCAAACCCAGAAGAAAAAAAAACTATATAACATAAATACATAAATACATACATACATAATATATAAAAATAAATGATACATATTTTTACAAAAATTTAATGGTAAACATAATCTTATAAAAAGTCATAAAATTTCGCGCACGAAAAAAGAAAAAAATAAATGATTCGTATAAAGAAATATTTTACTGATGTCCTAAAATGTACCCATAACTATTGAGGTATTGAGGTGCATTTGCATCTGTAGAGTTGATGCTGCTGTTGTTCGACATACCAAGGTAAAGAGTCATGAGTTCCAATTGTTCTTGCGTAAAGTCAAACAAGCTGTTGATGGGATTGGCAGTGAATGAATTCGAATAAACTTGATGAGTCGGTTGCTCGACACTTGAAGACATCATGGAGGTGTATCCGATAAAGGATGATGTTGACAACGAAGGAGATGAGGAGAACAAATAAGGATTGTAAGGTTCGGATCTATCCCTAGCGGCAGGACGATACTTGTATCCGGGATAACGTTGCGAGTGAAGGTTGTGCACTTTTATAGCGAGTCTCTCGTATTCTTCCTTCTCATCTAACGTTGCGGCGCGCCATAACATTCCAGTAACCTTGGAGATTACCCGCATATTACAAATCCCTCTCTTCTTGGCCTCTTGATGAACATTTTTACGACAAAGCAAGAAACCGTTAGGAGGCCTTGGTGGTCTCAATTTATTACGTTTCGAATCATTCAACAAATGTTCAGGATCATTATATTTCGGAGGAAAAATGTTTTCTTTATTCAATTTTTGAATTAAAATATCAGCCAGGTCGTTTAATGATGAAGATTGAAGAGACATCGTAAATGATCAAATATGTTTAATTATATTTTTTTTTTTTGCTTTTTTTTATTAAAAAAGGTATAGAAGAATCTAAAGCCTTATTTATTTTAAAGAAAAATTTTAAAGAGAATTTTTTTAAAAAACAAAAAAATATATATTTGTAATGGGTGTCTCTGCATCTTTTGAAGCAGTTGTCTTCCCTATTTATAAAGATCTTTGATCGAACTGTCAATGACCGATAAACAATCTTCCAAGCAAAAAGGCTTCAATTGAACAACATTGATGTCATCTGACAAAATCTTTTTTTTTTTAAAAAAAAAAAGTAATTCCGTCGTTTTACCAAAAAAAGGACGATCATAATTAGAATCTTAAAATAGTAATTATTATTAAGACGGAGATAATGTAATATATGAACATATTTTATTGATTAACAATGACAGATTTATAAACCAAAAGGCTGGAGGAGTATTGATGTATAAATATGGAATTCTTTTTGTGTTAAGGATATGGGCTTGAAATATGAAAATCTGAGATGATAATGTCATTTTTGTGGAATTCTCGAAAGACAGCGAAAAAATTTATATTGAACCAATTGGAATTCGTTCGCTTAAAGTTTTACGCTATAAGCCACGGTCAAGTCATGGTAATCACGTGATGATAAGTTTTGAAATAACTTTACATTAAATTTCGGGTAATTTTGACTTCCCTTCCGATTGATTTATTCTAAAAAATCAAAATTTATTCAAGTATGATTTCTACTTTAGTCTGCGTTGTATTACGTAATATAACTTATTAAATCCTCAGTTATCACATCCCCCCCATGTTATGATTATTTTGGAAATCTTCCGACAATGAACGTTAGCATATATATTCGATTCATTGTTCATTATGAAGATGCGCATTCATTTCACGGAGGTTAAAACTTGTCATTCAATTTTCGGTGTCAGAATTTGATTTTTGATTTTTCTTTCTTTGTTCCTTTCAAATATGAAAATCTTTTTTTTCTTTGTTCCCTTTCAGAATGAGGCTAAAAATATTTCCGACAATTTAAAAATAAACAGAGAAATTTTGTCAAATAAAAGGACTAAATGAGCGAATGTTTAATGGATTTTTAATTAATTCCACTTGCGTAAACAAAAAATAATTTTTATTCCGGATATGGTACGTTTTATATCACATTATCTGAATAAATATGTAAATGAGCGAAAAAAAAAAGTGCGCCATAATGTTTAAGAAAATCTATTAATATTGTTTGAATATGGTAAATTTAATACTTTTTCGGAGTAAAAATAAAGATATATGATGTCAAGAAAAAGTTTTTTTTTTAGAGTTGCAGATCGCAAATACTTTTTTGTTTTTTGAGGCAGCACATTTCTTCAACGAATCCTTCCTGAATATCTTAATGGATGGATATCAAAGGTCTTTACTTGTTTCTCTTTAATGTTTATTAATGGAATCTCGGTTTTTAATTAACCGAAATCTAATATCAAAACTAACTTTTTATATTTTAACTCTTTTTATTCATTTTCATTTCATTTTATTTTATTTTTGGTTTATTTTATACCGGTTTATCAAAAACATTATACATTATAATATATATATATATGTATATTACATCTTACTACCTTACTATATTTGTTATAAGTGTATTTATAGCAAACTTGGTCTTGTTAAACATACGCCAATTTTCTTATAAGGATTACTAAATGATCTTTGAAAATTTCTAGATTTGTAAAATTCATAAGTTTTTTTTTTTTATATTGATTTTACAACTTAAAATTATGCATATATATTATTAATGATCCGCAGTGTTATTGCGCGAGATTAATGTCTAATTATATTTACTACTATATATATTATACAAACTATACATGTTATGGGGGGGTTAAGAATTACTAATTAATTAATTGGTATTATAACAAAAAAAAAAAAAAAAAAATACGCCTCATTTCATCTAAAATACTGCGCATATAAATTATTAAGGGGTTTGGTTCCATATATATGTTCAAAAGCTTAAGGGGGGAAGGTACACAATAGTAAAAATTTGTTTTAACTATACAATTTTACGTCTTTTTTTTTTATATTATTCATTATTAATTTACAAACCGAAATTTTCCACAACGTAGGTGTTATACCAAGAGTAAAAGTCTGCGTGAGTCACAAACGAGTAAGCTGGATGAGAAGACATCATCTGCACTTGACCAACTAGAGGTTCTTCAGGTTGCTTCTGTGGTTGCTGTTCGGTTATAATATGCTGTCGAGGTAATTCTCGCTGTTGGGGTGTAATATAAGGTTGATGCAATGGATGCAATGGCCCATCCGTCCTGGCTCGAGGTCTATACTTGTAATTCGGATATCTCTTGGAGTGTAGGCGTTGAACGCTAAGTGCAAGGTTCTCGTATTGCTCTTTTTCGTCTAAAGTGGCACCTCGCCATAGCATCCCCGTTACTTTGCTAATCACCCTCATATTGCATATTCCTCGTTCTTTGGCTAGCCTGTGAACATTTTTTCTACAAAGTAAAAATCCGTTTGGAGGTCTTGGTGGGCCAACGCTTCTTACTTTTGATGGATTTAACAATTCTTCCGGATTGTTGTAATATGGCGGGAAGACTTTGTAGCGGTCAAGCTTATTCATTAACGCATCTGCCAGATCGTCCATGGATGAACTCTGAATATTTTTGTTCTTATTCATGACCAATTTTTTATAAATGATAATTTTTTTAGACGTTAATCCTTATTATCAACCTTTTATAGAACCTTTTTTTTTTTTTTCTTTTTTTTTTTTTTTTAACAAAAAAAAAAATTTCGAAAGCAAGGGCGGCGGCGGAACTTGAAAGTTATTTCATTTGCTTTTATAGATTTTGTTAATTCCGTAGCACAGGCATGCGTAATGACGGCACGTTTTTTATATTATATACATTTTATTTTAACATTTAGGATGTGATGAGGGGGAAAAAAACCAAGTTTTCAAGTTTTCGAGTTATCGAATAACTTTTTATTTTTTTTAATAAGTGGTATAAGTAGCTAAAATAGTTTAAAGCTCTTTTTTGTACAGGCCATGTGGGTTATGTAAATTGGAACACAACTTTTATTATTTATTTTTACTAATTTCAAGATAAATAAGTCCAAAAATAGTTGATTTTCTAAAATAATTTGAACTACTGGAGATCGATTTACAATTAACCGATATATATTTCAGTTGACAGAACATTCTATCATACAGATATATATATTTAGATAAAGGGTACCCCCTTCTATTACTATTTACATATTTTTGATTGAACTTGACAAATTAGATAAAAAGTTCAAATGCCTTGTACCTTTTTAGCTTTCACGAATTTCTTTTGCATTTATCATGCTTCGCATTCAAATAACCTTATTACAAAGAAGTTTTTCATCAGGTCGGTAGTTTCCTGATGTTTAAAATTAATTTGAATATGATTAATAATAGATAAACTGAGCCATTTGATTATCATTGGTACAGAACTACATGATCAAATTTCTTTTGGAAATTTTTTGAAATCTTATTGTAAAATGTAATCAGGTATTGTTGAGCGCCTCGCCGCATGAAAATTTGTTTTATTCGAACTAATTGAGTGCTCGATTTAAATTTTTTATCAAAATGTTTTAATTCATTTTTTTTTTTGACAATTTCAAGGTAGTAAAAAAAAAAAAATGATGATGATAAATAAAAATAAATAAAAATAAATAAACAAATAATTAATTAATAATTAACAAATCTAATGATTTCCTCTAAAGACGATAAGAGAAATTATTACAATGTAACATTTTATGAGAGATCAAAATCATTGATATTATGGGAATGCTTTTTTGACGAAAATTTTCCAATTAAAAAAAAAAAAGATAAAAATCATTCAAAAAGAAAATTCATTCGTGAAATGAATCTTTTCAACCCTCGCACATAATATATTAAAATGCAAATAAAAAAGAATTTTTTTTTTCGTCCATGCACCATCGGCATCACACAACATATCTGAAAGATGAATCGAATCCTTTTGAACATCTGAAAATCCAAGATATTTTTTTTTTTCCTTCTTAATAACAAAAAGGTTGTCAATATTATTATTTTTATTTATTATTATGATTCCTCGAGGTAATAGAACAGTCACACAAAATTTAACGGCAGGATCTAATTTGTAATAACGATGCCATTTTTTCTAGGAACTTTTGGCGTGCGTGGAGTGCGTGGAGAATGTACTCATTACAAATAAACGAGCATGTTTCCACTTTCGTTATATCAGATAGAATTATTTTAAGGTTATTCCGAGTAAAAAAAAGAAATAAAAAAAGCTACTAATGTCGAGTCACCTAAAAAGTAAGGCAACCACCGAAACTTACTAAGGTAATTTCGGTTAAACCTCATCTATTTTTTTCTAGATGATAAATAAGTCGCACGTTTGCTTATATGTTTATCCGCATTATAATGAAGATTTGTTTTTTATTTTCATGTCCGAAAATTCCAATGAAACTCGTTGTTTCAATTTTAATTCAATTTATTGAACTTTCCTTTTTCGATCACAATTTACGCAACATTACATTTATACTGTGACTTGTCAATCCCCTCATAATTGCTCTTGTCTTCCAATTCTAGAGGATTCGATAAATTGAAGGAAATCAAGGAAATAATACAAACATGCAATGTAATAAGACAAACAGGATTACCAAGATAAATAATTTCCCAGAATTTTACAAGAAACAAAGCACATGGCTGGTGTATTTTTTTTTTTGACATTGTAATGCATCATGTAATAAACAATATTAGTGTTATTTTTATTAAAATGTTCAATTTCTTTATTGTTTTCTCCTCTTAGTTAATTGCGGATTTTCCTTTTTTTAAAACATAATAAAAAATATCATTTTTAAGATATTCATTGGATTGGATCTACGAACTTGGCTTGAACCAACCGGAAAATATACAAGCATGAGTTTTAAAATAAAAAAAATAATAATAATATAAATAAAAATCATAATAATAATAAATATACTTATTTATTTATTTGGTGGCGTTTTGACTAAATCTAGCTAAATACGTATTAAAATGTATCGTCCGAAAATTTTTTTTTTTTAAAAAAAAAAGAGAAAACGCATGTAAAACGAAACTATATTTTATTTAAATTTTTTGTCATTCGTATCGATTTCACCTTCGTTATTTACCACGAAAATAGAAATAAAATTCCGATTATCTAATAAACTGCCGAACCAATCAGCTTACATTAATCGGATGATCACATTGATTATCGATGATTGGTTGTCATTAAAAAAAAAAAAAAAAAAAAAAACCGAATTTGTTCTATTACTTTATTTATTAATCATATACTATCTATGTGTGCGAAAATTAACGTTCGACAATTTATAATAAAATAAGTCATTTCCTCGTCTGACTGTACTCGTGACTGTAAACGTTTTAAGAAATTACAACATAATGTGAAAAATAACGAAATCACAAAAGAATTTTTTATTTTTGCAAAGTATTTTTTATTCAGGAAGGTAAAAATTAATAAAATTATTAGTATATATATATTTTTTTTCATTACTAATTACATTATTTTTAGTTTGGTATTTTAGTTAGATTTATGACCTTATTAAAAAATTTGTTCTTCGAATTTACAAAGATTAAAATGTTTGTTATTGTCCTTAGTTCTTAGAATTATTCTTATATAGCATATATTTGTACTTAAATAAAAGTTTGATTAGAAATATGATACATGATTCCTCTTTAAAACGAAAATAAAGGGGAGGATGGGGATATATTACAAATTTCCGGAAATTTAACGAGTAGTGAAAATAAAAAAAGTAAAAAGGTCGCAATAATCGCATTTCGTGTTTAAAAACAAAATTGATAGTCTATGTGCATCGCATCGGAAAACGTTGTCGAAAGATCGAAAGTAACGTTAAAATAAATAACAAGAAAGTAAAGCGAGCTCCTCTTGAGTAAATTGAGGGAATTGAAAAGATTCAGCAACGACATCCGGATAATACATTGGGTAGGCAACAGGTTGCTGATTGTGAATGATTTGTGCTGGTAAAGTTGTCAAGGCTTCGGGAATGATTTGTGGAGCGACATAAGGTCTGATGGCCTGAAGTCTTGGACGAATCGTTGGACGGTATTTGTAACCTGGGTACCTTTGGGAATGAAGCTTATTGACTTGAACAGAAAGTTTTTCATACGATTCCTTTTCCTCAGGAGTTGCGCTCCTCCATAACATGCCAGTAACTTTGCTGATCACACGCATGTTACAGAACCCTTTCAACCTTGCCTCCTTATGAACATTTTTTCTACATAACAAGAATCCATTTGGTGGTCTCGGTGGTCTCTTGGATCGGCTATTTGTCGGGTTAATTAATTCTTCTGGATTGGCATATAAAGGAGGAAAAATCTTTTTCCTGTCCAACGAACCGTATAACTTTTCCGCCAAATCATTTAAAGATGAAGAGGAGATTTCTGTCATTGTTTTTTTTTCTTTTTAAAGTTTATTTTATCTTTTTTTTTTTTTTTTTTTTTTTTTTTTTTTTTTTTTTTAATATCTGGTATTATATTTCTGAGAAGCGAAAAAAAAAGTGGGTGGAAGTATTTTTTTTGAAAAATTCTCCGTAAAAGATTGCTGGCCTTTTATAAAACCCAAACCAAAATTGTTATTCAAACACAAGTGATGATTGTTTTTTTAATGTATAAACAAAGTCCGGCAAAGCTAACCATATTTGGAATTTGAAACTAGAATGAAAATTTAATGTGCGGTATATTTACTTACTGATCGAACTTTTTTACTTGTTTTTTAAAAAAAGGTAAAATATTTGAACCGACTATACAGACTATACTGGATTAAATACGTTTAGGCCGAAAAATAAACTAAACCAAAAAAACGACTAATCTAAGATTAAATATTATATAATATAATTCACCAGAAAATTTTGTACAAATCAGAAACCGGGTGTGCATACAATAAAAATAGATCTCACGAAATATAAATAAATTGACTTTCTAAGTATGTCGTGAGATGCTGTGATATGACGGAGAAATTCCTTTTCTGTTTTTTTTTTTTTTTATAGTTGACATTGTGATTATATTTAGCAGATTGTATGATCAAAGAACTTTTTTTTACAATGGATATATCTGTCTAGCACAAAGAATCAAACAAAGCAGATGCATCCGATGGGTACCAACTTTTCTTTCTTTATTTCTACAAATTTGATTATGAAATTTCTTTACCAACAAAAAAAAACGAATCACCTGTCAGGTATTTTCATCAAGCTTATTATTATTTGTTTATTAAACACATATTCTGTATTAGTGTGATTGATATTAGTCAGGTAAAACGTCTCCTTGATCGCTAAGATTTAAAAGTCCATTATGGAACAAAAAAACATGCATGCATAGTGCGCAGTTAAACCTTAAAATGGTATGATCAACGATGCATTAAATTAAATGTACAGGAAGATTACGTTTGTCAAATATAGCGCACATACAATTTATTTGGTACATATGGATGGACCCACTGCCAACTTTTATTTGGTTTTTCTTGTCTCGACCGGTGACAATTTCCATTGCGTTCTACCTTCTTCTTTGATAAACTTACATAAATAAGTCGTGTGACATATAAAATTCTTTGTTTTGAGAAAATTAGGTACATATATATCGTTATATAAAATTCTTTATCTTTCAAACATAAATATTTACATTACAATCCCTTACAACTGTATTGATTTTCAGAGTCGTGTAATATTTACAATCCGAGTTTCTTTGACTAAGGCTTAGCCGTGATTATTCTTGCGTAACCTTACAACGTTTGAATAATAAGCTTAAGGTTTCAAATAGTCATTGTCGATGACACTCTTTAACTTATGCTTGTGTCGTTCGTCATACATACCTTTTTAATTATTATTCGCCGAAAAAAGAAAATTTATGCCTAGTACTTTTTTCTTTTCTTTTGTTTTTGTTTTCGTGTTGTTCCTTAATTAACTTTTATTCTTGGTGCAAATAAACGATTCGATGCTTATTTTTTATGCATTCATCTATTATTCTTTTCTTTTCTCTTTTTTGTTTTAAAAAAAAAAATATTAATTTGTAAATTTTTTTTTTTCCAGACAAATTATTATCGAATGGAATTCAATAAATAAAATGCATCCAATAAATATATAATTTGCAAGGGACAACAACAATAAATAATGGCAATTAAAAATGATAAATTATAAAAGTAAAATTAGCAACCATTTCTAACGTTAAATTTGAAAAATGACTACACCGTACATTTCTTTTTTGTTTGCTTGTGGTGTTACGTCTATCTTGTGGTTCGCAAAGCCATATATATATCTCGAAACCCTAAAATGTTAATGAAGTATAATAAAATAAAAAACACTTTGTCCCTTTAACTCTTATACAAATGAATCTTGCGCTCATTTGCTTAAGAAACTTATCCTATAGAAATGAAAGGTAAGAGTACAAATTTACAGAGGGTGTTATTTTGTTTTAAAAAAATAAAATAAAAAAGAATGAATTGCATATATAATAAATTTACTTTAAGGGCTGAAAAGATTCTTACCCGATTTCTTTTAGTTTCAATAAAGTTTTTTGATTTTACCATATACGAAAAAAGATAAAGCAGGTCATGAGAACTAAATGTATTTAATAGGGGGTTCAATTTACAATGCATCCGCCATTATACCAATACTTTCTTTTATTCCTTTTTTTTAAACGCTTCCGAAAATCTATTTACCTATCATCTCAAACTTTCATCGAGATAAATCGCTATTTTTAAATTTTATTTATAAATATTTTTTTAATCATTGATCATAAACCAACAATATGGAAAAGAAGTCCATACCATCTTTTCTTTCGCATTTGATTGGTGAGATTTTGAGTATTCCGAAATCCGATATTTCCGTTCATTGAATTTGTAATTTCAATGAAACATTGAACTTTTAAATCCGGCTTTTCAGTTCCGTTATCATATGTATAATTCTTACCAAGTATCACTTGATAAGCCATTTTTAAAATGACCAAAAGGATTTTTTTTTTTACTTTAAATTTATTTATTTTTTATTTATTTATTTTATTTATTTTATTTTTCCCCTTATTTATTAAGTTTCAAACATTGATTAATAATCAATGGGATTTCATGATTGATTCTTTCCATTTTAATCTCTAATATATATAATGAACATTTCCCGTTTAATTCATTAAATCGGATGATGGGGGCTTTTATTTATTTATTTATACTTGTCAAATTTTAAACTCTAATTTACTTTACTTTCTCCCGTTAATTGGATATTTTTTTTTTACCTTTTTATTTTATTCTGGTCAAAATAAACAAAATCGTTAAAATCGTTGGTTGATCATTGGGGAAACGTTAATCAGACAATCCATGTCAAATATGAATATATTAAAAAACTAAAATAAATGAGCTGTTTTGGAAATTGGTAAAAAGCTTTGGGGTGGATTACAATTTAACAATTATCATATCCTTATTATCATTTTTATTATTATTAATTATTATTTTGTCTTTCCCTGTAATAATCGGTTAATCTAATCAAAATCAATCATTTTGAATGAAATCCCTTTTTGAAAAAAAATTGTGGTTTATCATTTTTCTTATGTAAGAATAAACAAACAACATTTGAAGGTAACTTTCCAAATTTAGAAGAAGATATCCAAAGTTCTGGCTGCGCCGGGCAATAATCTCCGGTGCAAAATATATTATTTTTTTCAACCCATCGATCCCATTAATCCTAATATAATTTTTAACCAGCATTTTTATTTTATTTTCATTTTATTTTATTTTATTTTTTTTTTAAAAAAAAAAAATAAAAATTGTTCTGCCGAGAATATCATCCTCATGACCACTGTCTTATCAATTTATTCCTTGTGCATGGGAAAGCTTTTCAAGTAATTTTTTTTTTTTCGGCGTAAATTTTAAAAAAAAAAATTTATTGAGGCGCTCAAACCATAAATAAAGAATGGAACTTAAATCCGAAAAATAAATTGCATTAAAAACATCATAATAAATAAAATTCCTTAATTAAATTTAAAAGCTTTAAAAGGAAATTCAGAAAGTTAGGGAGAATAATCCTAACTATTGAGATGGAGCACATAAAAATAAAATAAATAATAAAATAATTATAATAATTATTATAATAATAACAGACATTGGGAAAAGTATGTATACGTGTGATGCATAATGGATTCCTTGCCTTGTGCAGTAAAATCCTTCCTTAGGTGAGGCCCGTTCCGGGAAAAACCATCTCGGTAAATACTTGCACATCGCTGACAATTGGGAAATCTTCAGAGGAGGATAAATGATCCCCGTTAATCCAAGTTGATTGAGGTGATGGGGTTGCGGTAATCTGAGCTGGGTCTACGCCACCAGGGGTAATAGATTGTTGCTGTTCCTTCAAACTTCGTGAATTACCGCGAGTATTTTCGGGAAAAATTTCAATTATCTCATCATTGTGTTGCTTGCAATACGTTTGATAAATGTTCTTTTGTTGTGATGTGGATTCATCCCAGATTTTACTTCCAACGTATTTCAGTTCATTTTTCACACTTTCATCAATCTCGGGGTAATTGGAGATGACGTTACCGAAAACCACATTAAATAATCTCAGATTAGTTAATGCGACACAAGGTTTGTGGTCTCGTGGATTTTTTATGTTCTTTAACGCAATGACAATGTTCCCGACATTGAACAATTCAGCAACGTCAATCATCCGAAAGAGACGATTGACATTATCGTGAAAATTTTCTTCGGCGGACATCTGATGAGCATTAAAAAAAAAAAAAAAAAAAAAAAATACCCGAGAAAGAGAAGACAAAAGATTGAAAAAGGATGTAATTCTTGCAATGTTATTCAAGAGGAGGCACGAGAGAAAAAAAAATAAAACTTGGATTGATTATTACTTATATGAAAATTTTTTCAAGCCAAGAATTTTTTTTGTACGGTTTCCGTTTGTAGTAATGCATTGAAAGATTCAAATCTTTACTTTAAAAATATGTTACGCCGATAACGGATAACTGTAACGATGCAATAAGACAAGAAAAGTTAGATATTTATCGCATTTAAGGATAAAAAGTCATGGGACATTGAAAACCTTACCTTTTGGCAAATGGAATGTTATTTCCTTATATAGTACCTTATGCGGACGAAACAGTTTAAAGTTGAATCAAAACATAAACGGTTAATTTCTCTTTCTTATTTTTTTTTTTTTTTTTTTTTTTTTGGGAATTATGGCGAAAAAAAAAGAAACTGTACGGTTTCCACAAATGTAGTCATTATATCAACAAAAATAGTTTTTGTTGCACCACCGTTATCGATACATGCGCCCCTACATCTTTTCAAAACTTTTTCTCGAAAACAAAAGTTATCAGATATTTCTATTGTTCAACGTTTTAAAAATCAACAAATAAGTTTCTCTCATGCTTTCAAATTTTCCCATTTATGTCGAAGCGATAAAACACAATCTCTTTTTTTTTTCTTCCTCATTACGGAAGCCATTGTGTATTCATTGTATATTTTGCATGCGTTTTTTAAATTTTTTTCAACGTCATAACCAAACCAAGTATAACTTTGTGTAATGAAAATTGACATTAATTTTTTTCTTTGCATATATGAATGAAAAAGATGAAAAGATAAATTTTTTTTTTCAAAAAGAGGATTTTCATTATAAAAATGTTATTCAATCGATTTTGGTCATAATTAAATACATTAAAATGTGGCTTGAGATAAGGGTAATTAATGTCTTATCACCTTATCAAATTTCTCAGGACTTTATCATGATGAATAAATGTTATTTGTTTTTTTTTTGTTATGTTTTGTTTTTCACTCCTTCAACCATTTGACACTTCATATACATTTAATGTATCGACTCCTCCAAATAAGGCTTAGGGGATTTGTGCTTTTTGTATGTTGGTTTTTTTTCCTTCGATGCCTTTATCAAATGACACATCCCGTGTTACCAAGAGATTAGAAAATTTTTTGAGCTATCCGGTAAAGTCCGATCAAGTGCCGATCTTATGATATCATACTTTATTAATTTGATTTTCAGGTGTTAACGAGAAGGAACAGAAGAGATCAATCATAGATGATCTAGGAAAAAAAAAAATGTTACATTTCTCGGAGACAATGAAGAGTTTGATTAATGTAATAATAAAACATGTGACCCACCACAAGCCTTAGCCTACACGTGTACAAACCGTGGTTGTTGGCCATGCATTATGTCAAGTCCGGTCCATCCGCAGATCTTTCATGGGTATCGTGGAAAAAAGCTTTTTGATCAGCCGGAAAATTTCTGGAGAAAATTTTTTGAAAAGGAATTCCTCGGTGGAAAAAAAAAACAACAACAAAAATGCACCAAATAATTGCCTCGCATCATTTAATGAGAGTCCTTGCAACTGCACAAAATCGGCAACAGCAAAAACTTTTAACAGGATTTGCCAAAATAATCTGTATCACCTTGCTAATTAGTTGCTAAATATTTTAACCGAAAGTTTTTTTTTAAAAAATAAAATTGACTTATAAAAAGAAGAAAAGGTTCTTAAGAATCTTGACACGTCCCCCTATGCACGAAATTAATAAAAAAAATATTAGATTATACAAAATATTTGTAATATTAATCATCCGTTTGATATCCAAATTTTATGAAATTTCATTTAAAAAATGCCAATTTTCGTTGGTACGTATGTACTCTAATGTAACTTTTATTTATTACAGTAGAATATATATATATATATATATATCGTATGATTTATTTAACAAAATAAAAAAGAATGGATTCCAAATAAGAGTTTCGCATCCAATTTCCGGTTTGTATGTTAATCAGGTATCACATCAAGTAACGCGAATGTATTTTGTGATATGGTCATCACAAAGAAAATAAACGCGTGTTTTCTATATTTAAAAAAATCTTGATTAAAGGTACCATATACTTGTGGATGAATAACAGCAAACAAGATTTTCTTAAAAGGAAGATTAAGATTTACAACAAACCATTCATACGGAAATACGAATCCAACTTTGGCAATATTGAAATTGGTTGATAGGATTAGTTATTTAATTCATAAAATCGTTATCATGTAATAATAAAGGGGTCCGATTGGTTCAATATCTTTATTGAGTTTTATATTTCACATTTTATCGATCTAATAATAATTTATGAAGGGAAAATATATTAATAATTTATAATTATAATAAAGCTTGTCAACGGATCACATAATCGGCGAACGCTAACAATGATTCAAATTAATAATGTGTAAGGTAAAATAAAATGGTCCCATTTTATATGGGTATAAGCGAGTTAACAAAGAATTCTATATTTAGGAGTATAATTCTTTTCCTTACTCATAGTCTTGAGATAGTAATACAAGGGCGCAAAGTCCGGAGTAAGCTAATCCCAATGTGGTCGATCCCAAATAGTCAATTCATATATGCACCTTTTGAAGGGATTTTTCGAGGAGATCGCTTTCACCATCACCAAGTGGCTAATTTCTAAATGTGGCTTGAAAGATAAAAACGAATTTTTGTTAAACTTGGGTAACCCATTTTTTTTTACGGAAGTGTTAATTATCCATTTGGTTTATACTGTGTTAATTATATTAGGAAAAAATAAGTACTATAAAGGAACACAATCAAAAAATGATATCCATTTGAATACCTGACCGATTATTAAATGAATCTTTTTTTTTAAAAAAGGAATTGAAGAAAGTTTCATCATCTCATCGGTCATCTTACCTCGAATCATCATGGCGCAAAGTACCAATTGGCAATAGGATCTAGAACTCTTGTTAACTATTTAAATACATTTCTGTGACAAAATAAAATAGGAGAACGCGAACCACATCAGGAAATTCGGTTAGATCCCCTTCAAAACTACAGAAACAACTTATTTGTTTATTAGTAAGAAAGCCCATCTAATCTATTATGAACAATCAAGAATTGTTTCATCTTAATATTGTTCAATCATTCGATTAAACAAAAAAGCCTGAATTATTTGTGAAAAAAATAAACTTGTACCCTATCTAAAATAGAACTTTCCGAGTCATACGATGTGTAAAGACGCGTTTAATAAGATAGATAAGTGTTGGTCAGTATGAGGAAATTCTCATGACTAGCTTATTTATGAATCCTCACGATAGTTACATATGCTATGCAACTATTATTTGGTGCTGTAAATATAAATAAATGGAAAACGCGTGAATCTAAATGGTCCTTTCAAGTTACATCTTTATGAGCCTTTGGGAGAAAATAATAAATAAAAGGTTAAACTTGTTTCTGCTACTTTTGTTGGGGGGGATGCATTTGAATTTTCGATCGGGATCGCGTCCGCTTTAATGTTTCCTGATCGGTTTGTTGTAACTTTTAAAGATACCGATTTCATTATTGTTATTTTAAAGAATAAATGTCAAAGGTATGATCAATGCGTGAATTTCTTTAAACATGTTATAATCAATTTAGAACTTTTGGCGATAATCTACTTATTATACAAAGAAATTAGGAAATAGCTATAAATATCATCCAGTAAAAATGCAACCCGTCATTTTTTATCGACTGTATATCTTAACAGTGATGAACGGGATCAGCGACTCCGTTTTTTTTTAAAAAAAAAATTTTTAACCTACTCCATAAATGGCTGATCAAAATTGGCAAACTTGCACGTGATGATTCATTAGCCACTCCAACCGCATATACGCATATACAAATCATTTTTTAAATCGGGTAATTTCAAAAAAGCGATGCGATGATCTTTATGGTATTTAGGTTTATTAAGTATACAAGACTGCATTGTCTCTATTGTCTCTTGCTTTTTTTGTTCAGGAAGGAACCTTTGATTCTTTATATATATTCTTATTTTCCAGTGCCACGTAGCAAAACAACATTGTTACTGAAATAAATTGATAACAGTCACATTCTTTAAGCGTTGATCGATATATCGGCCGGGATTAGTGAAGCACATCAAAATTTAACCAATTTTTAAATAACCATATATAATATACCCATAGAAAATATCCTGGTCGCTTAATAATTATTAAGTTCCTGTAATATTAACATATAACTTAGATTTTAATGAACATTTCTCGGATGGTTATACTTAGTTAAGCCAACTTCAAATTGTGTAGCATTTGTAAATTTGTAAGGTATAATTTCCAAGACACAAGAACTTTTCGTTCAGGATCGGATTTATTTTTGAAAAAAAAAAATTTATAAAAATAAACATTACATCAATCAATTCACTGACCACCCCCTAAAAATTGAATTTTAATGTATGAATTCATACATACAAATACATTTATATTTAGTGTAATCTAAATCATTGTTACAATATTTATTACAATATTTATTTTTAAATTTTGTGATCGGCCAATACCCGATTTTTTAATTAACACAAAAAAAAAAACTACCATCGGATACTTTCTTTTAGGTATAGAATTTTCCTAATTTCCTAATGTGGTCATCAAGAATTTCTTTTCATCGGGTCGAGTTTTAAAAAAAAATAAAAAATCGAAGGTGAACTGATCATAACCAGTAAAGGAAGCATTTTGATAAATTTAGGAAAAATCTTTTTAAATGTCCAAAAATACTTCTATAGAATTATAACTATATTTGGACTGGTTGTTCATCCAGTTCATATTCAAGTATTTTCAAAGAATGATGTTTATATATATATATACGAATGCTTATTATTGAAAAGAAAATATATGGTAAATTTATGTTATAAACATACGGGTCAGGATGGTAACCATTTTTTTTTAAAAAAAAAAATGAAAACAAAAAAAAAACTCAATATTTCATAATAAGAATTCTCGCAAACATTATTTGGAGCATTTAGTAAAAAGTTTATTGGATGTACCAGCCCATGACACCTTTCACATAATGAATAGAAAATTCAAACTTTATTTATTATCTTTTTTGTAGACGATTACAATGAAACATATTTTTTTTTCTTGTTGATTATCTTACTTAATAAACAATACCTTAAATTCCACGTCCATCTATATTTAATTATATTACAATCGAACTATCCGTTATTTTTTTGTTAAAAAAAAAATAAAATAAAAACGTTTTTAATGAAAAAGTAAATCGATTTTTCTAAATTAATAAAAAGTATGGTAATCAAATGGTTCGAACATAAAAGTAGCGAAAGCGTTATCCGAAATAGTGTTGATATCATTCATTACATTCGTGCTGGAATGAAATGGCTGTAAATTCGACGCAGGTTCATCCTGATGTTGAAAGATGCCGAGTGCATCAGAAGAGGTGGTAGAATTATCGGGATATACTTGAAAACGATTTGGTTGTTGATTTGGAAAGTCATTAAAATTTTGAATTTGATTGTCAATAATTTGATTAACGAAGAAATCACAAGAATCAAATCCTTGTTGAAAATTTTCAAAAAGTTGTTGACCGCAATCATCAGTATAAGAATTAAAGTTCCAATTATCATCACTTGAAGTTAATAGATTCGGGTAGGGTTGATTGGTATCAATGTAGGGTTGGTTATAAAATTCATTAAAGTTTTGATTGGGATCAAGAACGGGTTGGTCATTAATTTCATCAATGGTTGGCGAAGTGGCCGCAGTGGATGAAAGGTCCGGAGTTAAAATCTGATTAATGAAATTCAGTTCGTCAATTTGATGATGATTATCATTATTAGGAGTCGAGATGTTATCAAAATGGGTTGTGACAGGTGTGAACTTTTCATTATCATTATTTTGATTTAAAACCTTTTCAAAGGAGATCACATTCCAGTTACTTCTCTTTTTCTTTTTATTTTCAGATTTAGGATATAATTCATTACGATAATCGAAAGTTGCCTTGGCTAGCCTTTTATAATAATCCTTCACTTCCTCCGGTTCTTTTTCCCAAGATTGACTAACCATTGAAGAAAGAACGGTCATTGGGAAGCAATAACCTTCATTCCTAGACTCTCGAACATACATTTTACGATAAATAATAAATGCATTAGGAGCTCGACTCGGTTTTTTACCGGCGATAGATTTTGTTATTAAATCTTTTGGACCAATTGGTGGAGGAAATGGGGGTTTAATAAAAGGACGAATGATACTATTAATCATTTGATCAGAGAAATTTTTGTCATAGTTTTGAGAATCATTCATTTCGTTTCGTTTCATTTCTTTAAAATTTTTTTTTTTTTTTTTATAAATTTTTTTTTTCTCGTTAATAAATTTTAATGACTGACAAAAAGAACGATCATAAAAAAGGTAAAATTCAATCTTGGGAAATTAAACATGGAAACAAAATGAACAATTCATGTAATATTTATAATTTTTAGTATTTTTTTGATGAATTGCTACTATTATTTTCCTAATTTGTTAAACTTTAGGATCACGAAACTATTTTTAGCGAATTTCTCAATGACCCTGAAAATTTCATGGTGAAATAAAAAGAATTTAAAGGTACAGAAATACTATTTTAAGAAGTGACCACTAAGAAAAAATAAACACCCCCTCTTTTGACATAAATTAGGATATTATATAAAAACATCATTTTTTTTTTAATTTCCTGGTAAATTAAAAAAAAAAAAAAAATAATAAATAAATAAATAAATAAATAAAAAAATATATATATATAATAAAAATAAAACTGTAACGATAAGCGAATCAGCGTTTATGCATAACTGATAAGTTGGTTTATTATTGTTCACATATATATGCACATGTTTTCCTATATCAAGAATCGAGTCACCACTTCAAAGATTAATTTGATTTTTTGGTATGATGATCTTTACCTGGATGTTAAAATTCATTAATTGTATAAAAAAGTTTTGGAGGGCTGTGTTTACACATAAAATAGCTTCTATTATCTGAATTAAACTTCGACCAACTTGGCTTAGAGGGTCGAGCCAACTCCGAAATCCATCATAAGATTACTGCGGATCATTATTGATGCACTGGGGGTGCATTCACACATTAATCATTATAAATCCCATAACCATTAAAACAATGCACGTCATGCATAAAAAGGTTTTCAATCTCATTTGCAGTCTCAATTTCCTTTCTTCGCACTTTCATATAAACATTCCTTTTGTAAGAAATTTATTCAAACAACTTGTCGACATGCATGTACCACTTACAAATATCGTTTGGGGACCTTGCCTTTGTTCCGAACAATGCTCATTCATTCTGAATAAAGGTATTATCGTCCCAATGCTTATTAATTATTGTCATTGATTCTGGGTAAAAAAAAAAATTTGATTTTTCATCCCAATTATTTATATTAAAACGTCTCCTGATTACTTGATTCTATTTTACCTTTAACTTACGATAGAATATCATTTCCAACAGGAGAGATTCTTTCATGAGTTTTAAGATATTTGATAGCGAGATGCAATCGGAAGCTCACCGATATTCATTCATGTTTGTTGATGTAATCGATGTTGGTTCGAGAAAATTCCTTCTTTATTATGGAGTGATATTCCTGATAAGAGTTTTCAAAACAAGCTTTCTTTGATGATGACTATTTATCATGCCTTTTGCCTAGAGAAAGTTGATGTGTCATTGAAAGAAAAGAGTACGTTTTATTGGCTTTTACAATTAGTGCTATCTTCTTTCGCTGCTTGCTCACTCTAAATTTAGAATATCGGGAATTATTTTGGATCATTGGAACGAGCTATATAAGTTAAGCATATATCTTTATGCAGAGAGATCTTTTGGGCGGTCAAGCAGGACTAACATGACTAACTATTATTAATCACAGCTCAAATTTCTTTACGTCATTGATGTTCTTGGGCAGACAATTTTAAGCATGATTAAAGTCAATCATTTTGGATGGGCCAAGTGGCGAAGCGTTGCGGGAATCATTTTTCAAGGCATAATGAAATCTTTTTCTTTTTTTTTTTTTCAAAGAAAGAAATTTATTGTTAATATAATATTTATAATATAAATATGACTTTGAAAATGAAATTGCCATATTATATGATGGATGTTTTAAAAATTTACTGATAATGAACAATTTCCATTGGAATTAAATGGAATATTTATTTTATTTATTAAAATGTTATGAAATCTTAAAAAACATTAAATATCTATATTTACAATTCTATATTTTCGTCATAATCTTATTGACCATATGTTACTTAATCTTAAAAGTTCCTTATTTACTTATATATATGTCTATTTTTTACCACGTATAAAACCCTCAAACCCCCAAAATTATAATGATGATGTGTTGATAATATGATGATATTCTTTTTACAACTGAAGTGAATTTTCGAATTCGGATCCATTGGAATTTACACAAATCCCTTGATATTGTAACGGATTTAGTATATAATTATAATTGTTATAATTGAGATAATCGATTTGGTTGGAACACATGTTTAAATCATTATTGAATGGAATGAAATTAACTGGATCGATTTGATTTGGAAAATTGCCTTGGCATATTAAATTTTGATCACATTGATCATATTGATACGTTCCAACATAATTAATTGGAAAATCGTTATTTATTTGTTCATTAAATTCCGGATAAGGTTGATTGGAGTTATGATTTAGTATGTCATTTGGAAAAATGAGCGGAGATGGCATGTTGCTACTATTGTTCGATGTGCTGAATTCTTGAAATTGATTTTCGTTAAATGAAGCATCATAACCATCATAATTTTGTTGTTCTAAATTTGGCGAAGAAATCTGTGAAGAGACGTTACTACTCGTTGAATCTTGAGAGATAAGTGGCGACTGGTTAATTTGTTCCATTTGAAATTCCGGAAGTGGTGACGATGATGATGAACTTTTCTTTGATTTTGCATCTTTCGTATCATCAAAAAATGTATTATATAAATCATTTTGAAAAGCGATATCGGCATTCCAAGGTTCCTTCTTTCTTCTTCGCTTGATTTTCTTGGGAAATTTTTCGGTTCGATATTTATAAGCTTCCTTGGCTAGTAATTTGTAATAACCTCTCACTTCTTCAGATTCTTGATCCCAAGATTTTGACGCCATTGAGGACACGATCGTCATTGGCAAGAAATACCCTTGATCTCTTGTAGTTTTGAAGAAAACTTTACGATAAATGATGAACGCGTTTGGAGAACGTGATGGTTTATTATCTTTACCTATGATCAATAGATCTTTTGGATCGATGAGAGGTGGGAATGGTGGCTTTATGAAAGGATGAGAAGAATTACTCATGATTTGATTTGGTAAAGCCGGATTACTCGAATCGATGAAAACACAAGCTCGTAACATTTTAGGATTTTCAGGATGTTCAGTTTGAAATTGATAACTCATTGTCTTGAATGCGATGAATAATAATAGTAATAATATAAATTTTTTATTAAAATCTCTTTAAATTGTTTATATTTTTTTTGCCCTTTGGGAAAAGGTCATTCTGCGAGTTTTATAGACATTTTTTATTTACATCACGCGCATAATACTGAAATATTATTGGTGTGATTATTAATCGCTTTTTGGCCGTCAATGATCTATTTATATACTGTATAACACAGCCGATTTCTTAATATAGTCCATCCGCAGTAAAAATGTCAACAGTTGGACATGATTGTCACTTATAATCTTATACTCTACCATTATAATACTGAGACATCCAAAAATAGGTTTTACTTTATATCACAGAAAAAAATGAAAAAGGCTGTGTTAAAAATCTCCGATGAAAAGTTTCATAAAAATTCTCCGTTATCTCGTTCAAGATGTCCAATAGGAGTTTTTCTTTAATAAAAAAAATTTACAAAAGGATATGTTTCACTTGGATCTACCTTCAAAGTAGTTTATTCTTTAAAGGTTTACGAAATATATGATTTTTTCTATATTTATAATTTATTCGTTAATGATTATGTAGCAGTAAAGTGGAAAATGAAAATGAAAATGAATTGCCGTGATTACTTATTTTGGCGTCTAAGTCAATTTTTTTTTATCACAAGCAACAAAATAAATAAATTGTTAATTATAATTTTAGCTATTCCGAATCTGTACAAGTTTTAAATGTTCATCACATGCATTTTTCTCACATTAATGATATAATAGCGTTATGCTAATTTCTGGAAGGGCTATCTAATTATGAAGAACGTAAGCCAGGTGACGGGTTAAACGTGCTTGACATACCATCTGGTTTTTTTTTAATAAAAAAATATAAATAAATAAATAAAGGACAAAACAAAAAGGACCGAGTGGAAGACTTCCTTTTTGGTCCCATTGAAACTTTCATATCCTCTTGAAAAAGTGGGTGAAAATTACTTATTACGATCAACAAAGATTTGTACATTAACCGGTCATGAGACCAGTTTGGCGTAGTTTATCAAAAGAAATTTTTTTTAAAATACTTGTAATAATACTTAACTTATTAGTGATTAGAGTTTGAAAAAAGTTAAAAATAAATTTCTTTCTTAACCGGTAACCGGTTAGATCTTGTTTTAATAAACAAAAAATCAAAAAAAAAAATTTTTTTTTGGTTAATCCCCGACAAGGGCAATGTTATGCTTTATCTAAAAATAGAACAGAAAACTACATACAATTTTTTTCTCAATTAGTTATTTATAGTAACAACAAATTTTTTAATTCTTATACTAAAACGAACAAATGTCAATTTTCCGAAAAAAAACTACAAAAAGGATATGACGAACTTATAAACATGTGAGCCCCCTTTGCAATAAATAGAAGGTGGGAAAACTTCCGGTAAAACTAACAATGAATATTTCAGCCCCCAAAAATAAACAAATATACATACATATTTTGATATTTCAATTCATACCTTTTTAAAGAAAGTATCAGCTTTAACTTTGTCGGGACTTTAATAGAAATATCACGTTACAGAACACTTTGTTACTATTTATATTTTTAAAAAACTTTTTGATATAGGATTTCTATAAACAGAAAAATAAGATTTGAGATTTTTTTTAACTACTTTTTTATGTAAACATTATATTTTATTATTTTATTTAAATAATTCTTTGTTTTAATTAATTAATATGAGAAATTACATTTAATATGATTATCTGGTTTATCTGGTTTAATAAATAAAGAAATACAGTATATCATAAAAATATAATTTTAATATATAATCAAAAAAAATTATTTATTTAAGCAATTTAATAATTAACTTTATATTTTTATATGTTATTATTAAATTATCATTTAAAATTAATAAACCTAAGAAATTTTAAAAATCTGATCTATAAAATATTAACATTATTTTTATATTTTATTTATTAAAATATAAGTTTAATAATATTTAAAATATTATAACTTAATTATATTTAAAAAATATTTTTAAAATTATTAAATTACTTAAATAAATTTTATTATTTTATTTTACTTTACAAAAACTTTAAAAATTTATAATATTAATATATAATTGTATTCCCATTATAATTATTATATATTTACTATAATATTGCATAATTAATATATAATCAATATTTAGTTACTATACATTAAAAAAATATAAATAATTTTAATTAATAAGTATAATCTTTTAAATTATCTAATAAAAAAAATTTTTTATAATATTTTTTAATTACAATATATAATTATTTATTTAATTATTATAATTATATATTTTAAATATAAAAATATATATTAAATAATTATAATAATTTGTTTAATTAAATTTAAACTTATATCTTAATTAATATTTAATAAATCAAATCAAAATATTATTTAAAAAAACTTAAATTTTAAATAATTAGTTTTATATCTAATTTTTTTAAATAAAATCTATTAATTTTAAAATATTTATTAAAACAATTTCAGTTAATTTCTTTTGTTATTATTTATTAAAATACAAATATTATTTAATGATATATAAGCTTAAAATCTTTATAATTAGTCGAGGAAAATATGAGATCATATAATATAAATATATTATATGATCTCATATTTTCCTCGACTTATCCTAGACTACATTATCATATTTTCTTGAGGTTATCAGATTATATGATTAATATTTTATTCTACTTATCCTGACTACATGATTATATTTTCTTGAGGTTATCAGGATGTACTATTATATTTTCTTAGGGTTATATTTTGGGTGCCGGTTGCGGTGATTCGTTTACATGATAAATTCTACATTGTTGGTATTGGCTTTCCGGCCTTTTTTAGATGCCTGGTTTTATGTTGAGGGTACTGGCCTCCTGCGCTTGACTGAGTGCTAGATTTCATATTGAGGTGCTTATCCTTTGCGCCTATTTGGTTGCCTTTTAAAATACCGAAATGGTGTAAAAAAAGAGGTGACGGGTGGCGCAGTATATTTTCTTATAATGATAATCAGCCATAAAAGTCCGA